TACATCCCAACTCTCCATTATGATGGACCCCAAACACTCAATACTCTTTGTTGGGTTTTGATCCTATGACTCACAGTGAATCTCCACTGGCGTAAGTAGATTTATATTTCCAACTCTATAGAACCAAAGAAGTGCAGAGTAGAACTTAATCTTCCTCTTATGTATGGCCCACTTCTTTCCAATTTTATAGATTTTAAAAACATTTAGTATGTATCGGTGCTAAATTAAGACATATAAGGCAGACTCAGGAATGTTAAAAATACTTTCATGGCGAAGAATTTTACTGGCCTAGTTCAGATATTTACCAAGTCCACAACTTCCTTTCAGTGGTAGGGGGTGCACCACATGAACTCCCAGTCATGTTGATGCCTGATTTGAATCACCTCTACTCTTTTGTTGGGGAACACCTTATGTGAACAGCATCAGTTAGGTGCTCCCATTTAGCACTCACATCATATGGGACACAATCTGCATGGGGAAGGGGAGCAGGGGTCTTGCTAGGACTTCAAACAAATTTGCATGAAATCTGCATACGCTGGTTTATATGTATAGGAGCCCCTGGGCATATTAAAGTGATGCGTGGCTGGAGTCTTACCCAGCTGCCCTGTTAGCAGAGTTTACAAAGTGTGTTCTTTTAAAAAGGGAAGAAGGAGACAGGGGATCTAGGGCCCAGCATAAAATGCTGGGAGCTCTGGCCCCCTAGGCACCCTCTTGCAATGTTCATGGAGATATGGGAGTCTGGTGTCTCCTGTGAGAAATCAGGTAGGGTCTGAACTGCGCCAGTATTTTGCTGATGGCAGTTCAGTGGGATCTTCCGAACAGCTGATCACACAAAATTAAACAGTCAATTCAGCATATCTTTTCTTACAGTAGAATGTTGCTCAAGAAGGAGCCATTGTTTAGGGTTGCAACAATGAGCTTATCCTCTCCTTGGGTTTAAAGGCTCCTCGCACCTCCTTTTGCATGGTTATGAGGAGGAATTCAAAATCTTTGGCTTCCATTTTTTTACTAACTGCAGCTTGCCATGCCATCCAAACCCACTGGACCTAACCATAGGTAAAGGAAAGAAGTCAACTTCAAATTATAGTTTGTGAAGCTGACTTGTTTCTTTAACCATAGTTAAGATTAACCACAGTTTAGGGTTTAGACAACACACTAAATTATGGTTAATCTAAAATGGAAGCGGAAGTTTCTGATCGCTGAATGGCTGTGCTGGAGGAGGGGAAGCGTGTGAGCCCAGGCACAGGCTAGGCTCATTAGTGTAACACCAAAACCCTAAATACAGCCACCATGTCCTCCAGAAAATTCCAGATAGGTCACGGAATAATAGCACCAAATATATGAAAATAGAAGACACACTTCTGCATTGTGGTTAAATCTCATTAAAGGGGTTTACCTCTGACTTGTAAGGATTTCGGCTTTAGAGTGATTTACACATGCAGTAGAAGTATGTGGTGCAGGTCTTTCTGGGTGATACCACTTTAGACTGCACATGGGAATTACATGTTACAATGTTCTGCTGGTAAAAAAAACCCCCAAAAAGACAGAGATTTGAGCTAGTCTTACCTTTACCATGCTAATTTCAGTCTGAAGTGGTACAGTCCTTAGGAAACTGTTCCACATGTGGATTCTACAACACATGTGTACTGGTTTTCTGTGGGAAAGACCCTAATACATAAATTCAGAACTATAAAGTTACTGACTCCCCAACCACCCAGAATATAAGCAAAAAAGTACCGTAATCACACAGACTGAAAACGCAGAAAGACAGATTCTGAGTTTGGGGAATGGATTTTGCTCCAATGAAATCTGCATTAAGAACAAATATAAGACTCTGAAAGGTGTCAAAAAGGGAAATAATTGACTTTATTTCTTCATCAGAATGTATATGCCCATTATAATATTTTCCCTGTTACCTCAAACACCAAGTCACTCTTTAAAAGCACACACTCCATAGACACATATTGTGTCCTATGTTTTGGACACAGGGTTTTCATATTTTTTATTTTATTATTTTTATCCGAAATATTTTTACACTGCCTTTCTGGGCAAAAAGCCCTCCCAAGGCAGCATGCGTAAATTCATAAAATTGGGGGGCACATTTTTAATAATGTAATATACATAAAGTTTCACAATTAATTTTTTTCCTTATATACTTTTAGTATACAGTTCCATACTAGAGCTGGGCTCTGTTCACAATGTTTATATGTGTTTTGGGGTTTTGGGGTTTTGGTTTTTAAACTAAGAGCCCTCTGAATGTGCTTCGTTCAGTGCTGCACAGCTCTTGTTGCTCCTTTTCACTTTTGAAGCTTCCTAATTTTTCACCTGCAGAACATTAGTTTCTCCCAGTAGATGTTATACTGTGCTTTATATGTGAATGCATTCCAGTTTCACCCTTCTAAGTCCACAGACAGGCTTGCAGGCTTGCTTGGGCAAAGCTCTGTGCATGTCAGATGTGAGATTATGCTGACTATTCTCAAATTCACTTGGATTCTAATGCACATAGCATTTTTCTGGTTCATATCAGCTACATTTTTTTAAAATGGAGTGAGCCAGTTCTTTGCGGGTGTCTCTTGGATTTAATCCTTGGCACAGATTTTTTAAATGCATCTTAATCCTATCTTCCATCAAAACTCAAAAGTGGTCTACATGAGGTTCCAGGAAGTCCTGCCTGTATACAGGAGTTACTTATAACTTTGGTGGGGAGGAGGAAGGTGGTTGTATTTATATTGTTCACGATGATAAGTTTGGAGTTTTCTTCTCCTAACCTTCTGTTTAATTCATAATACACCAAGACAAGATAGTTTTGCCTTTTCTTTTTTCATGCATATTCCAATGAATTTTCTTTCCATAAACTTTTATCATTCTGTTTCTGCCCCTGTTTAAAGAGATCGTCACTGCAGAACTGTACATAAATAAATGACCACTGAATAAGTGAAGTGGACTAGAAATGCCAAGGAAGTCAATAACATTTTAGGCTACACTCCTGTACACACATACTTGAGAGTAATTCATGGTGAACTCAGTAACAGGGCTTACTTCTGAGCAAGCATGCATTGGATTATACTGCAAGAATCCTAAACAGTTTTCAGATATACTTTGAATGAACCTAATAACAAGATACATATTACAGTTCCTTGGATTTCGGTCATTGTGGTGTGTCATGATTTCAGTTATTAGCTGTCCAGTTTAATACAAATCATAAAAGTTCAATGACACAATTAACCTGAGGAGCCAAATTCTGAAAACCTTTCTTGGGTTTTGTTCTGTCTTTGAACATTGGGGTCAGTAGCAACAAAGGAAAGTATTTCTTCATAAAACACATAAGAAGAATATTCACTATCACAAGGTGATGGCTGTTGGAGTTTGGCAGCTTTGAAAAGGGGATTAGATAAATTAACGGAGCAGAGGTCTATTGGCCATGCAAGCTAAATCAAGTCTTCAGTGTTCAGAGCCGGTGTGCTGCGTAATTGTTAGATAACTGGGAACAAATGCCATGGGGAAAACAACTGCATTCATGATCTGCTTGTGAGCTTCTAGGGGCATCTGCCTGGCTGTTGTTGGGAATCAAAATGCTAGGCCTGATGAACTTTGGTTAGATTCAGCAAGGCTTTAGCACCTGGTCTACTCCATAGATTGTAAGCAGGAGACTGGGATCAAATGGATTCCCATTCCAAGAGGTTTGCATTGGTGATATTTTTCATTGTGCTGCCTGCGGGGTTTTTTAATGTATGACTATTTTTTATGATATAAATTGAAGTGTGTCCATCTCTGTTAATTGAAGCTATCTACCTGAAAGGGGGGGGGAGTTCCTTGATGACCCATTACATGCCCAGTACAATGCTACTAGTGATAAGGGGAGTGAATTTAATTCCATGATTATGTATGCACATAATTTTGTTTAGTGAGCTGCCTCTAATCAGCAATGATATCCTAATAATATGAGCAAATATTCCTCAAATGGCACTCACCAGTTGCCATCTTTCAACAATATTCAAAACATGGTGCTATGGTGTTGTTGAAGGCAGATATACCAGCATAAAAGTTTGAGCATTTATTTATTTATTTATTTGTCTATCTTATAGGCTTTTTTAAAAAAACAACAACAACCTGTTAACACAGATATGGATAAGATAGTGGGATAAAGGCCAAGCAATGTATGGTTTCAATATGCCTACATATAGGATATAACAAGCTTCCTCAACCTCAGCCCTCCAGAAGTTTTGAGACTACAATTCCCATCAACCCTGACCACTGGTCCTGCTAGCTAGGGATCATGGGAGTTGTAGGCCAAAAACATCTGGAGGGCTGAGGTTGAGGAAGCCTGGGATATAATAACAGTTCTACAGCAAAATGATAATAGAGGGAAGTGGAACCTAGAGAATGTAATAGATCTGTTACTCTGGTGTAAGAAGAAGAAAAACTGCTCCCTGTAGTTCTTTGTAAAGAGTTTATCTGAACTGATTATCGAATTATTATGGACAATTGCAGGCCATTTGGATAAATGAGTTGAAATATTTTAGCCTGTTGGTAGATTTATTCGATAGTTTGGAATAGGTCCACATACCGATCATTCTTAACTAGAAGATGGGCAAAGTTGTATAGATATAGATATATAGAAATATATAGAGATATAGATATATGGATGATTATGGGTTGGATACAGACAACTGTTGGTTGCGCTTAGCTCCCATTGTAACCAAAATGAAAAAGTTTATCATGACTAATCTCAGTACCACTGATTTCAATGGGACTTAGTCTGGCTCCATCCCATCACCACCAGAACCACAAGCACCCTTTGGACAACAAATGCAAGTCAGAATTGTTAGTCTCCTTACATTTGCTGGCTGACATTTACATTTATCACAAGTGCATCATATCACTGAACTGTGGTTAAGTGGAACCTGGGGACCCGAAGACAAGCAGCAGGAAGGGTGTTGGGGAGGGGAGGACAAAATCAGCATTGGCCATTTTACAGTGCACCTCTTTCTGCATTGCAGTAGCCTCCCTGTTAAAGATCCTCATGTAGACAGTGCCTCTCCAGTGTATCAGGCTGTGCTTAAAACTCAGAACAAGCCTGAAGATGAGCTTGATGATTGGAGTCGCCGTTCTTCCCACTTGCAGTCCAGGTCCTTCCGTATCCTGGCTCAGATGACAGGAACTGAGTACAGTAAGTCAGGCTGGGAAGCCCCAGTTCACGTCTTTGATGGAATTCTTTGTTTTCCCTCTGTATACCAACAGCCAGTAGTCATAAGGTAATATGAGAGGAGGAGTTCTGTGCTTAAGTGGGGAAGCCATTTTAATTCCCTCTCGATGACACTGGCATCACATTGCAGCATCACAGTGTTGTGCCAGAGGCATCATGGGGGAGAATTAAGATGGCGGTGACAGCAACAGCAGTTACCTAGCCCAACACTCCTCTCAACCCTGGTTCCTAAAAACATTTTGTAAGGGTGGGGGGAAAAACTAAAGAGATGCTAGTATCAGCCAGGATGGGCTTTCCAATGTGCTTGGGTCCTTGACATTTCCCTGAGGGTGCCATGTTCAGATGCCAGGCCTGATTTCATGAATAGATGGCAACTGAAGGAGGGCCTGAGATGATGCTGAAGGATTGCAGGAGGATGGATACAGAGAGATACCATCACTAAGGTATGTCGATTCCATGCTATATACAAGTTCTTATGTGCCTTGAATTGGTCATGGGAACAGAACTGCAGCCAGCGTGGCTGGAAAATAAAGGCTGAGCATGTTCCCATCTCCTGGCATTTCATAAGAGTTGGACTATAGCATGTTACACCACGCTAGAGTAATCTTCAAGGGCAGTTCCCACACAATATGTTTTACAGTAGCCAAGCCTAGGGTGTACTTAAGTGTGTATCAACATGGCAGGGTCCTTGCCAAGAGGGGACACAGTCTATGCAGAAGACATAACTGTCATAATGCTGTTGCAGAAGCATAGCAACCTTCATATGAAAAAGGATGCAGGATAATACCAATGCCATGAGCCTGCATTGATGGCATGACAACCATCATATTGATTGTCAGCATGTTTAATTCCCCCAGGGCACAAATAATTCACTTTGGCAATCTGCTGGGGAAGGGAAGGTTGTCCAAAATTGGGTGGAGGTTTGCCCAACTGGTTTCATTGTTCAAGAGGGCCCCTGACCCTCTGGAGAAGTGTTTCAGGAGTGCAGGTGGCTGCAGCTCAGAGAATAGGACTAGGAATCTTACTTCTATGACCTTGTTTAAGTTAACTTGCCTTAGCATCCCAGGTATTGAGCTGGGTGTCATCAATATATTGATGACAACCAACTCCAAAGGTCCAGGTAATCTCTCAGCCATCTTTGAGTTAAAGATCTCTGGAGCCTAAGAAGTGCCCCATGCCAATTGCCATGGGGCCTAGCAAGCCTCTCCAGTGGTTATCCTCTGCGTCTGATTGGACAGATGAAAATAAAATCACTGGTGAGGAAGCCCTGACACAGTGACCTGATGTTCCAGTTGTCCGTGAGAACTGTATGATGCCAGGCAGAAGCCTTAGATAAGAACAAGGTCAGCAGAAAAGTTTATCCCCTGTTGGTATCTGGGTGTGAATCATCCAGCAGGGCTATCAGTTTTGTGTCTGTTCCAAAAGCAAACCTGAAATGAGATGGTAAAGGGACAGCGAAGGATAGTTTACAAAATCAAAACATTAACATTTCAGACAGAACATGCTGACTGAAATGCCAGTGTAACAAAAAGATTCCAAAATGTCAAGTTAAGGTGCAATGGGGGGAAGTTGCTGCTGAGACAATCATGGTCACCCCTCCTTTCATCCTGCAATTTCTTTCTTTGGTTCTTAAGAGATATTAAGACCAACAAATTTATTCCTGCTCCGGTTGTAACAATGTGAATTGAAATCACACGTAAATAGAAAATCCTAAGTGGTGTTCTAGTTGAAAAATGATTATTATTTTTTTAAACCAGGAAGAATAAACTAACACTTTAACCAGATTTCAGAAAGGAAGAGAAATTCAAAGTAGTTTCCCCCCCTATTTTAATTCAAACCACTGAATAGAAATTCACACCCATGCAAAGTGTCATTTGACCCCTAGAGAACCTGAATTACCAGTTTCTGCTCCCTTTGTACTTAGGTTGTAATCTCCACCTAGTTGTCTTGTTTGTTTTTTTCCTCTCTAATGGAGTCAATTTCTCATCTGCAGTGCAAGATCCAGATGAAGATGCCCTGAGGAGATCAAGGTAGGCAACTAGCAGCAAGTACTATGGCCTTCTCTTTACTGATAACAAATATTTAGTGCTCTAAACTGGCATTAATTTGAACACTATGAAAATTTAGTTCTTAAGAAGCCTACTACATTTACTCAAACCACTAAAATGAAAGTGCTGTTGGCTTAACAAAGAGTCTCTAGGTGGAATAGATGGGGAAGTGGCTCAATTTCAGGGGGTGTGCGCAGTCTTTGCACAAGGGATTCCCATTTGTTTGTGGTGGGATTATTTTGTGTGACAGCCCCCCCCCATGAGCCAGTGTGCATGTGACTGCCCTAAATTGTGTTAAGTGGATGGAAATGTAATAAGATGGTGTGGCTAGTCTTGAAATTTTAATGAGCAATTTATTTGGATGACCTTGTGATTGGCACTTGTTTCAATGGAGATGCACAGATGATCACGGTACAGGAGTTGTTCCCAACGATATAAATAAAACACCTAAAGTTTGTTTTAATGGAAACTAAAGCGGGGGAAAGCAAAAACCCAACTCAACCAAGATTATTTGGTTTGTTTCTTCTCATAATAATGCAGTATGAGCATACAGGACTGCTTTTGCTACTAGAGTAAAGTGTTTGTCCATTTTCACATATTCTGTCTCACAGAAGCTCAAATATTAATCCATTACTTGTGCTTGTCTAGCTTGAATAGGCTGCAGGATTCACCTTGTTCCTACATTCAGTTTATTGGTAGCTGTCTGGAGTAGAGAATTCTGGATCCTAGTCTACTCTCTTTTTGCGTAGCTCTCCCTCCCTGAGCATATTCTTCTAGCGGGGTCTTGAGATTGTGATCGGTTTTATAATTTTGCCTCGCCAGAGTTCCCACTGCGCTGCTGCAGATTTGCTTTTGTTGGTGTTTCAACCCTGTGATTCTTCTATCATATCCCCATTTCTAAAGCACCCACCCACCAGAAAATTTTTAGATGTATGTTTGCAGGTACATTTGGCTGCCATTCGCCTTCCGTTGTAAGTGCCAGGCGTTTATGAAACTGGAGCTTTGCTTATCTCTCAGATGCTTAGTCTAAGATTAAGGTCTATAGACTGGCTTCTTCTGCTGTTTTAGCAGAATGCTTACAGGCTGGAGAACTGCATCACATGTTGCAAAATTTGCACATGGAAGACATTCCATAAGAATCAGTGTGCCTTCTCTGCATGTAGATTGCCATGTGTGACATCCACACATGTGGGTTTTTCCACTGCATCTACACTTGCTGCATATGTGCTGGGTAGCATCAGAAAATGCACATCCCTTGGAGCTCTGCTGAATGATATTCTGATTGTAGCTGACTTACTGTAACATCTCATTTCTGACATGGTTCGCACAGGAACCCTAAACAGAGCTTCTGCATAATGAGAACACTCTGGGTTCCTGTAGCAGCTCCGACAACTGCTACAGCCACCTAAGAAAAGCTTCCTTCTTTCTTTCTTTTGGCACTACCACCCACCTCCTTCCAGTAGCAAGGGAGGAGAACAGGATGCTCAAGGGGGCAGTAGTGCTGGAATGGGGACTCTGAGCGGGACTGTAGAAGCAGCCACCTTAGAGCAGCCTTTTTCAACCTGTGAGTCCCCAGATGTTGAACTACAACTCCCATCACCCCTAGCTAGCAAGGCCAGAGCTCAGGGATGATGGGAGTTGCAGTCCAACAACATCTGGGGACCCACAGGTTGAGAACCACTGTCTTAGAGGCTTCTTACCATGTAGCGCCTCTGTTTATGACTCCTGTATGAACTAAGGCAATAGCTTCTGCACCAGTTAAGAATTTTGGATTCTGTACAGTTCCCCAGGATTTGAGATGTTTTCACAAGTAACACAATCTGACCCATTAATATGAGACTGTTTGTTGTTCCTTTGCATGCCCTTGAAGGCAAAATATATTCCTCAAAGAGCTTGCACTGGCCAACAAAGAAAAGGTTCGGTTTAAAACCCCTGAAGTTGAAAGTCAGGCAAGGATGATAGTTTTTGTTTTCAGAAGGGGAAGTGGGCAGATGCATCCGTTTATAGAAGACTGCATAATTTGTTGAATGTACGTAACAATACTCTATGCGTCATGTGCTGTATGTTGTCAGCCTTGTGCATGTCACTTGTTTCTCAAACTATGATTGCCAGGGGTGCTCAGCCGCTGGGGAACATCGTGACTTTGGGCATGATGGGCCAGAAGGTTAAAGTAGGCGTTTACACATTTAGTTAGTACTATCTTGAGCCTGCAGATTCATTTTTAAAAAGAAGACCAAGAAGGATCTGTGGTCAAAGTAGCAGGTTTTTAAACCATAGAAGAAGGGGCTGCTGCAGTGGTACGCTACGTCCTGATCCAACATAGACTACCAGACACATTCACCCATCGTTCCAAAAAGTTGGATAGACAAAAATGGAGTGCTGTGTCAAACTCCCAAATGCTGTTAGTAGTATAGTTATAGTGGAGTCTTTAACTTTGTACAACATGGCCTCCAAAGCAATGGGCTTGTGGGAGAGCCTGTGGCAACCGCAATCTATAATTCTTCCAGTATTCACTGTGTATGGTCTTCAGAGAGGAGGCCTAAGACCATTAATGAGTTGTTGTTTTTTAAAAAAGATATTTTTCATCAGTATTCATCTAGTAAAATGGACTTGCAAAAGTCTCCATCCATGCAATACTCTCCCATCTTGGAAAATGTTTGCTTTCTGCTGCTTTCAGGCTGTGCAGGTAGACTTTCATGCAACAATTGTGGGGTGATGCCTCCTTGTGGTGGCTCTTCAAAATTGACCTGCCCTTGTGCCAGCCTTCTCCAGCCTCGCCCTCCAGATGTTTTACACTACAATTCTCATTAGCCCCAGGCAGCTGTTGTAGTCCAAAACATCTGCAGGGCATTTGGTTGAGGAAGCTTGCCATAGATGGATGAAAACAAAAACCAAAATAAGTCCTTTCAGACTGTCAGTGTAAGAGACAATCTGCTTGCTAATTAGCACATGAATACTGTTCTCTGTTGCTGTGTCGCCTCTGTATTTCAACTTCATTCACTGTGGGAAATCAGAAGGGCTGGATGATTCTCCATGGAACTCCCTGTTTCCTTATAGTCTTCCACTCAAAAACCCTGGAGTTGCAGAGTAAAAAAAGAAAATAACTGCATTTTTCACTCTTGGGCCTGGGGACTGTCACTCCATAACCAGCCCCAGCCACTGTTAATGCGTGGCCTTTTCTCAGAATGAGAGTATGTGGTGCTTCAGATTGTAAAGTTCCCATTTACTGTAATATTTTCCTTTGTTATGGGGTTGCCATGAATTATTCAGTGAATTGTGAAGTAGTTTGCCTTTCTCTAATGACATCTCTTGAATTCTTTATCATGCCAAGACAGAGGGAGATATCTTGACATGGGCTGTGTGTGTGTGTGTGTGTAAGTTTTTCTTTCTAAAAGAAAATGCTGTCTTTTGGGAGACTCCTATTAATTTGATTTGGAGCAGCCTAGCTAGAAAACTGTGCACTAAATAAATGGCACAGAGAGAGAGAGTCATTAGGGAGAATGAGGCAGACACCTCAGCTACCCTGTGCTGGAGGAGTTGTGTGGCAGGGAGATCAAGTTGGAGGACAGAGACCTCTGTTCACCACACAACCTGTTCTACACCTCAGAAGCCAGTCTGTTGCTCTCTGGCGCAGGGGAGGGTATTTTTCTGTGCTGAAGTTGAAGTAAGAGTCAGCTTCCAACCCATACAGGTTTTGCACATGGAAAGATTGGAGGAGGCACCACCTTGCCCTTTGCCTCAGGCAGCAAAACGTCTTCAGCAGGTGTGCCAACTCCTAGGGGCCGAGGCAGTTTCCACCACCCCCCCAAAAAAATATTTTTTGAGCAAGCAGAGCACCCCACCCACATCTTCAAGGGGCATTCGGCTCTGCCCTTGGCTCCTTGCAGCGTTGCAAGGATGCTTTTGCTGTGGGCTCTGTGAGTCTGGGGTTGAGAGTTGGCAGCACAGACAGGGAGGACCAGAGTGGAGCCTGTCTGAATGGGGAGGTAAGCAAAGCAGAGCGGCAGCTTGGTGGGGCTGTGCGCCTCCAGCTTTGCTTTTTGAGGAGCATCTGTGATGTGGCAGGCTGGGGAGTTCTGGGTCCCCTGTGGGCTCTTTTGTGCTGCTGTTAGGCAGGCAGCCAGCTAGCCAGAGCTTCGCACCCACCCAGGGAAGGCTGCTGAAAGGCAGCTGGGCTGCTGGTGAGGGCAAGTGGGGCAGGAGAGGTGCTGGCACAGGGATGACAATTGCCAAGGGCCAAGGCAAGTTCTGCCCCCCTTGTGACGTCAGGGTGTCATGCGCATGGCGTCATGGTGTCGCATGGTGTTGCACATGGGGCCCCCTCAATCCCGTTAAGAAGATGGCACCTCTGGTCTTCAGCCGACCCTCCCACCTACACACCGCATGCATGCTGTACCTTTAAAGCACATTTGAAGCACATTCTTTCCCTCAAAGAATACCGGGCAGTGTAGTTCACCCCTCACACTCCAATAGCCCTTAGTTAACTACAATGCCCCCAATACTTTTTGGGGGAGGGATGTCCCTTGAAGATGCTTTAAAGGTATGATGTGCAGATAGCCATGGACTGTTGAAGCTTTGGAGACATCTAAGGGCAGAGCTGCATGTTATAAGACTCATGGGACAGGCATGTGCTGAGTTCCCATCTTCCCTCCTCAATACATAGCGTCCTGTGGGTGCAATTATGCTGTGCATTTCCCTGCCCCTACTCCAAGCCACTGACTACAGGTGAGGAAAAGCTTGGCTTAACTCCAGAACCCCATGAAACGTCACAAAGGGTGAAGAGGATACTTGAGATGGGGGCCTGCAGCAATGCTGGCTGGTAGCTCTTGGGAAGGGAGGTTAACAGTAGAGACAGGCAGAGACAGCTAATTCTGGTTTTGGCCATGCCCATCTCTCTGCTGACCAGCAGAACCATCCCTGGAGTGGTTAGGCAGGTGGATACTGGCTGAGGCAGACTGAGGTTGGTGGGGTAGTGCCCCAGG